GCTTTCATATATTAAGTGGCCCAAAAAGTGAAAGAGGCCTCGGAGCCCCCATTACCTTATTAATGGATTCCGGCCCAAAACCCTTTTAGAAGAACAGTTGCCGCAAAAACTATTTCCATTAGTAATAAAATTACAAAAATGGAGATGCGGGGTATCGATCCCCGTACCTCTCGCATGCTAAGCGAGCGCTCTACCATCTGAGCTACATCCCCAGTTGCATCATTTAGCATTTTTGTTTTATTATAATAATTAATAAAAATGAACTTAATTTGACATCTTATAAGAGAGCAAACATATTATCACATCCATATCATATTAACTCTCACACCTCATCAACAACTACATATCCATGACCACATTATCTTGTAAAAAAAAAAAAAGTTCAAACAACCTGCTAGATCATTATATCCATCTTTTTGTCTATATGGCTTCCACTACTTTCAAACTTGATATCCAACTACATTTAACTTTAACCACATCTCCATGTATATTCAGACTTAATTTAGCCGAACCAAGTCTCACACAGTCGTCGATGAAGAATAATGGAACACTTGAGGTTATTTTAGATGCTAAACTTCTGTTTGAGGTTATTTCTATATGCTACTACCCTCAGCTGTAATGTGAGGAACTTTGATCTCTAACACGAGCTCGTTTTTCACGTGTGCCTCTAAGTTTCTCCAATCCGCTAGCTCGGGTAGTTCGAGCCTCCTCACAAAGCCGTTCTCCCACCAATGACTGCTCTTCCAATCCCTTGTCTTGGATTCTCTCTGTTGTTTCCATTGCCCATTTATCTCTAGAATCTTTCCATTTGAGATGCAAACTTGGATGGTGTTATGGCTTATCCCTGATATGACCAATATTTGGCATAGAACTGTTAGAAATATTTAATTTGGACAGTATATGTAAATTAAATGTGTATAGATGTCACAATAGAATTCAATCAAAATGAACTACTAAATTTATAATTTTAAATAATGAGAGTATCGAATTGTTACGGATTTAAAAGTGTAAAAATCATTATGAGATTTTCTTATTTGTTGAAAGACCGAACTGAAAATCAATAAATTTTATTTATTTAGTTATGACTCCAAACGACGTAAAGGTACCAGCAGAAATGAGGTGCTTCTCCCTTCAAAATCACCATCATCATTACCAAATGATATATAGAAAATATACTCTATAGTATACTACATATAAATATCTGTTATAAGAATCCGATAGTTTAGATACCAGTCCAACAAGATCATGTGAAAGAACACACCAAACTAGCAAACCGAAGAACACACGAATTCTCAAACAGATACTCGAATAACGTTTAGTTAGTACTCGAATCCAATAAACTACTCACCGATCGGGAGTTGTGCTCTTAGGACATAACCGTTATCCGTTCGGAACCAATCCACGGTTTCGTGTCCTGAACTGTTAGGAGTATTCGGCAACAAAGCTTGCGGATCGAACTCCCAAAGCGGAAATGCGTCCGAAGGATCGAAGAACTTCCCGAACAGAAACGGGCTGAAGAATGAGCTGGCGGCTCCGAAGATGTCGTGCACCGTTGAATTAGCTTTGCTAATAAAAGCTGCAAACACATCTTCTCTAAGAGGACACAGCCACTTGTTCTGATTCTGGCGATGATCTTCGAATTGAATCTCGAGTTGTTTTGAACTGGACATTCAAGTTATGGATGTTAGAAGGTTTGAAGTGTTTGTCTTGAAACTAAACTGAGTTTGAAGAGAGCTGTGAGATTGATGGCATGTTTTACCATTTATGCTTAGATATTTTAAAGCAGAGAATAAGTTCCAATGGAATTTGTGATGGGCTGTAAAGTAGGAATATTTCTCCTTTTTTTGTTTGGTCTTTATGATGGTGATATATGTTCCACATATTTAGAGGCAACGCATTCAGATGATCAAATATGGAGGGTATGGCCTATTTTGAGATGTTCTTTTTTTCTTTTTTTTTGTAGTCAGCCACGGTGACTAATCCGTTGGTCGCACACCTGACAGTGGTGGGTGAGTATCCCAATAAGGGTTCTCTGCATCCACAAAGACTCGAAACCGAGATCTTGCTTAAGCGACATCAAGCTGCTTTTCAAAATAAACAAAACAAAAGCATTCGAGCTTTACCGGTGGAAGTTTTTAGTTAGGCCATCAAGAATTTTGGTTAAAAGTCAGGAATTTGGGTCTTCTGAGAGCTGTACAGAGTAAAGGGCTTTGGTGTTTTCTTTTTGGGTTCATTGTGGTCTATAACTATGAGCAGATTTGGGTCCAATTTGCAAGATGAGGTTCAAGAAAGGAATGTATATTATTATTACTTCTGGATTATGGGTTGATCAATATAAATATAATTTAATTTACTTAAATATCCATGAACTGATATACTTCATAAGAAAATATATACTTCACTCATTTTCCAACTCTGATTAGAAGAAATATATGTTTACAAATACAACATGAAGAAAGATGTGCAGATTAGACATGAAATATATATGTTCACAAATACAACATGAAGAAGGATATGCAAACTAGACATGGCCAAGGGCCAACCCGGCCCGAAACGGGTCTCGGACCGGCCCTGAACTGGTCGCCAAAGGGCTGGTTCGTTGAACAGGACTGTAGGGTCCCAATTAGTATTATTTTTTTTTTTCCTGTCGGGCTGGGTCGGGCCGCAATGTTTTTTGGGGTGGACCAGCCCTGAACCGGCCTCCTAAGGGCTGGTTCATAATTTTTTTTTTTTTTGTCCTACCGGTCAGAGTCGGGCCAGGTTAGAAGATGGGCCACAATGTTTTTTTGGGCAGTACCTGCCCAGAACCGTCCGAAACCCGCCAATGAACAGGTCAATATAAATGGGCAGGCCGATCACGGGCCACAAAATTGAAGCCCGCCAGCCCAGCAATTGGCCACATAGATCTTTACTACATAGTGAATGTAAAAGATATGGATGCAAAAGGAAGCATTTCATCATCAAATTAATATACATTTAGTTAATTGATCTTAGTTATAAAAATTGTTACTTAGTAGATTAAAGGATGAGTTTTATGGTTGAGAATGAATTATTATAAGATTTTACAATAGATGAATGTATAAAGACATAAGACCATCTCCAACCGAAAAATCCATACTCAAACTCATTTTGCAGTAATTGTCCCATTTTGCAGTAATTCATCTCCAACCGAAAAACTCATTCTCAAACCCAAAAGAATATTCTTAGAATATTCTCTTTTACACCAACTTTTATAACTTTTTAATACTACCCACATATTTTTCAACTTTACAAATTAAACCACACTATTATTTTAAATTCAATTTGGACTTTATGTAATTAAAATTAATTATACATAATAAAATCGGAGAAATAAGTATTCATTAAAAATTAAAATTTCAGCACACAAATAAAATTAAAAATTGCAATTCACTAGATGAAAAATTAAAAATTACAACACACAAGATAAAATAAAAAATTACAACGCATAAGATAAAATTAAAAATTACAACGCACAAGATAAAAATTTAAAAATTACAACACACGAGATAAAATAGAAAATTACAACAATAACGTAAAAATAGATAGTCTTTTAAGTCTCGGAGTTGGTG